GAGGTTTTCTAAATTTTTTATGTGTATCAGAGACACTGATAGCATCAATTTACATCATTCTAATTTTCAATCAGACGTCTGTGGTTCTTGTTAAAGAGATTGTAAAGAGGTTTTCTAAATTTTTTATGTGTATCAGGGACACTGATAGCATCAATTTACATCATTCTAATTTTCAATCAGATGTCTGTGGTTCTTGTTAAAGAGATTGTAAAGAGGTTTTCTAAATTTTGTATGTGTATCAGGGACACTGATAGCATCAATTTACATCATTCTAATTTTCAATCAGACGTCTGTGGTTCTTGTTAAAGAGATTGTAAAGAGGTTTTCTAAATTTTGTATGTGTATCAAAGACACTGATAGCATCAATTTACATCATTCTAATTTTCAATCAGACGTCTGTGGTTCTTGTTAAAGAGATTGTAAAGAGGTTTTCTAAATTTTTTATGTGTATCAGAGACACTGATAATATCAGTTTACACCATTCTAATTTTAAATCCCTGATACATGTAAAGATTTGAGAAAACCTTCTGGTTTGTGAAAATGATTGCTTTGTATTTTGTTGTATTGATGTGGAAAATTGTCCGATCGAATTCTTTACAATCCCTTTAATACAAGTTTGTCCAATGGAAATAATCAATAAGAACGAAAACAAAAATCTACACAAAACGTTTAATTAGCCTATCCAAACATCTAACGTTAATTTTCTATGAAACTAAATATGTTCTACTGCCTGTTTTCTTTTGGTTTAAGTATTCAATCAGTAAATGAAATGAAATGAATGGAGTTTTACGTCCTACTTTTCTGCACCATGTGGGCTAATGAAGACAGACAATGCCAAGTACTAACGATCTGAACTGCAAAACGAGACACAAAATCCAAAACAACATATTGGTGAAACATTGGTAGCAGCTAATGAATAAATAAACCAAGAACTAACGATCCAAACAGCAAAACAAAACCCACAATCCAAAACAACATATTGGTGAAACATTGGTAGCAGCTAATGAATAAATAAACCAAGTACTAACGATCTGAACTGAAAAACGGAACCACAATCCAAAACAACATATTGGTGAACATTGGTAGCAGCTAATGAATAAATAAACCATGTACTAACGATCCAAACAGCAAAACAAAACCCACAATCCAAAACAACTAATGGTGAAACATTTGTAGCAGCTAATGAATAAATAAACCAAGTACTAACGATCCGAACAGCAAAACAAAACCCACAATCCAAAACAACATTTTGGTGAAACATTGGTAGCAGCTAATGAATAAATAAACCAAGTACTAACGATCTGAACAGCAAAACAAAACCCACAATCTAAAACAACATATTGGTGAAACATTGGTAGCAGCTAATGAATAAATAAACCAAGTACTAACGATCCGAACAGCAAAACAAAACCCACAATCCAAAACAACATTTTGGTGAAACATTGGTAGCAGCTAATGAATAAATAAACCAAGTACTAACGATCTGAACAGCAAAACAAAACCCACAATCTAAAACAACATATTGGTGAAACATTGGTAGCAGCTAATGAATAAATAAACCAAGTACTAACGATCCGAACAGCAAAACAAAACCCACAATCCAAAACAACATATTGGTGAAACATTGGTAGCAGCTAATGAATAAATAAACCAAGTACTAACGATCCGAACAGCAAAACAAAACCCGAAATCTAAAACAACTAATGGGGAAACATTATCTACCAACAATAAATAAACCAAGTACTAACGATCCGAACAGCAAAACAAAACCCAAAATCCAAAACAACATATTAGTGAAACATTGGTAACAGCTAATGAATAAATAAACCAAGTACTAACGATCCGAACAGCAAAACAAAACCCACAATCCAAAACAACATATTAGTGAAACATTGGTAGCAGCTAATGAATAAATAAACCAAGTACTAACGATCCGAACAGCAAAACAAAACCCACAATCCAAAACAACATATTGGTGAAACATTGGTAGCAGCTAATGAATAAATAAACCAAGTACTAACGATCCGAACAGCAAAACAAAACCCACAATCCAAAACAACATATTGGTGAAACATTGGTAACAGCTAATGAATAAATAAACCAAGTACTAACGATCCGAACAGCAAAACAAAACCCACAATCCAAAACAACATATTGGTGAAACATTGGTAGCAGCTAATGAATAAATAAACCAAGTACTAACGATCCGAACAGCAAAACAAAACCCACAATCCAAAACAACATATTGGTGAAACAGTGGTAACAGCTAATGAATAAATAAACCAAGTACTAACGATCCGAACAGCAAAACAAAACCCACAATCCAAAACAACATATTGGTGAAACATTGGTAGCAGCTAATGAATAAATAAACCAAGTACTAACGATCCGAACTGCAAAACAAAACCCACAATCTAAAACAACATATTGGTGAAACATTGGTAGCAGCTAATGAATAAATAAACCAAGAACTAACGATCCGAACTGCAAAACAAAACCCACAATCTAAAACAACATATTGATGAAACATTGCTAGCAGCTAATGTATAAATAAACCAAGTACTAACGATCTGAACAGCAAAACGAAACCACAATCCAAAACAACATATTAGTGAAACATTGGTAACAGATAATGAACTTTTCACACGAGGAAGTATATTAATTATAAAATACGTAAAAAAGCACGAGCTCGTGTAAGAGATTAAAGAACGTTAAATTGAATCAAAATATCTTTGAATTTTTGGTCCTTGGAGATTAAAATGTGTTTATAATGACTTTACAATTTTGTCTCTTCTTAATTTCATTTTTTCGTTGAAATTTATTTATTTATGTGAATATTTTCCATACCAGCTGATTGAGCTCAAAGTAGCTTGACAAATCTGGCGTACTCGTTTCCTGGAATGGGATATCGTCACGTTTTTCGGACAGACTTAGTTTATCACTATTTATGAGATTGCTCCGTTACTTTTGGGTACACTTTTTGAGAATTTTCACTATGTTCGAAGCCAAGTTTCGCATTTTAGTATGGAAAAGTGAGTCCATCAAGATATTCAGAATTATATTGTTGCTAAGCGTTTTTATAACTTCGTTATCGCAAAAGCTGTTAGTCATTTCAAAACTGCGTAAAATAGATTGTAAAGAAGTTTTCAGTGGTGGCTCAGTGAGTTAGATGCTTGCTCGCTAACCTGAAGGTCCAGGGTTCAATCCTGACATAGTTCGAGATAATACCTTCAGATTTTTCAACACAGTTTCCCCCTGTCAGTGATGCAGGTAAGAGAGGTTGACATGGAAAAAGCGTCTAGTCGTTCGGATGGGACAATAAACCGAGGCCCCGTGTGTTACAGGCTGTACACGTTAAAGATCCCTCGACAGTTGGAAATCGAAAAAGAGCAGGCTTATGCAGCTGTCCAGGAAAAATTTGCCTTATTGCACACTGCATGGCGTTGCCTGTCTTCATTAGCCCACATGGTGCAGAAACATAGGACGTAAAACATTTATTTCATGTATTCAGATATATTCCTATACAGGAAGACACAAACAATATTTTGTCTTGTTAATATAGGTCTACTAATAATGATTTTTTTTCCTAGAGAGCTCTGATTGCTTTGAGCAATTTCTATTTTCATATAGTCATTTTCTAGCCTCCTTATGTGAAGAGCTAGAAGGAAATTAGTCTTATATTAGACTTTATTTGATGTCAATAGTCTTTGCTATTAATAGATCAAGGTTTGGAATTTAATGTCTTGGCCAGCGAGAATTGGATTCTAGTGTCTTTTAACTACCGAAAAAAATACTTACTGCCACATACTTTTAAAACTGTCGTGGCCAGCGAGAATTGGATTCTAGTGTCTTTTAACTACCGAAAAAATACTTACTGCCACATACTTTTAAAACTGTCGTGGCCAGCGAGAATTGATATGGCAGTGTCTCAAGAAAAAACAAGTCATCATTTTAACTTTCAAACGTAGATAATTCTAGACACACATGGATTTGAAGGCCCAAATTTTGACAGTGAGCTGTGAACACTATTACTGATTAGCTTAGCTAAAAAAATTCCTGTTTCTGAGACTAAAGTATGATTGGTCAAAAAGAATGGCGCATCTGTCCCTTTAAAGCATCGATTTTGTGTAATATTTGTAGAATAAACGAAATAAATGAATGAATGAATGAATGAATGAACAAACGAACAAAAATGAACGAATTAACAAACGATCGAATGAATGAATAAATTAATGAACGAATGAACGAACAAACGAATGAAAATGAATGGATGAACGAATCCATAAACAAATGAATAAATAAATAAATAAATAAATAAATAAATAAATAAATAAATAAATAAATAATATTCAAACCTGGAGTCTACTAGTAGCTAGTTAAAACTGTGTTGTAAAGTGTCAGTACAAGAATATTACACCAAACTTATTTTTAGAATTGTTAAAAGAGATTTAACACATGTTTGATGTTCTTTACTGTTTTCAAATTGATAAAACAGAACTCGAAAACATTAATGGAAAAGATTCTGGTGTTGATTTGAGTCTTGAATATATGTAAATAGCCTTCAGAAATACTAGAAATGTACCAAAATCACATAATTCCTTCAAAAATACAACGATACACTATACATGGTCCTTGGCTAGGTTGATTTGAGTCTTGAATATATGTAAATAGTCTTCAGAAATACTAGAAATGTACGAAAATCACATAATTCCTTTAAAAATACAACGATACACTATACATGGTCCTTGGCTTGGTTGATTTGAGTCTTGAATATATGTAAAGAGATTGTACAGAAATTTTTTATGTGTATCAGGGACACTGATAGCATCAATATGCAATTAGTGACGTCATAAACACTTAGTTTTAGTGGAATTACAAGAACCACAGACGTCTGATTGAAAATTAGA